ATAGAAATTACTACCAGTGTGTGGCACAACTCAAACATAGTTTACAAGAGGCCTATCAAATGCTGCAAAAATAAATGCTGCCAATAAAAGATGCTTTGATGCCAACGTTCGTTACAAAGACTTACAACCTGGTGATAAAGTGCTTCTTCGCAATTTGGGACCCTCAGCCAAACATAAGTTAGCTGATCGCTGGAGAAATGAGTTGTTTGAAGTTATAGAAAAACTGCCTAGAATTCCAGTCTATTAGACAAGTAGGCACAGGCTAGGGACTCACAATTCAGGATAGAAGCCTACCCTTTGAGACAGGACCAGCCAGTCTGCACTCTGCCCACTGAAGACAGACGCTGTTGGTGTATCTTTACCCGCTGCATCTCTGTATCTTCTGCCACCACACCACACTGCACCCACATGCTACCCTAGAATGAGTATGGCGGTTGAGAAAGTTGAATAAAAGTCATAAAGCTTGCTTGTTCAGTAAAATAAGGACAACAGCCTCTATGTCTTTCTTCTGAAAGGTTTTTATTTTTAAAGGTCAGCATCAGTAGATTTGTTGCTTTTGACAACAAAGTTAGCATGGCCCAGTAAACATGTAGGGGTTTTTTTTAATTACTGCTAGTTGACCTGGGTCTTGCACATTACTATCACTGAGTCTCCCTTCTGCTGTCTTTACTGGAGGAATTAACTGGTTGCTAGAGTTGCTTAATACAGGGCTGTAGATCATTTTTTCTTCTGGGGGGGTTCAGCTCAAGGAGGGGGGGTTGGTAGAAGGAAGGGAGGGGTGAGTGGAAGGAAGGAAAGGGTGGGTGGAAGGAAGCAAGAAAGGAAGGGGTGGAAGGAAGGAAGGGTGGAAGGAAGGGAAGGGGTGGAAGGAAGGAAGGGGTGGAAGGAAGGAAGGGTGGAAGGAAGGGAGGGGTGGGTGGGTGGAAGGAAACGAGGGGTGGGTGGAAGGAAGGGAAGGGGTGGAAGGAAGGAAAAAAGGAAGGAAGGGGTGGAAGGAAGGGTGGGTGGACCCCCCACACACTTATCTAAGCACCTGGCTTAGTATAATGACTGTCCTGCGTTCTGAGTTTTGTTTGTTTTTTGCATTTCCCATTAAAGGACTTCTAGAGGATACCATAGTCAAAAATGTTGACTAGATTACCAGTAAGGGATGGTAGGGGGCATACATAAAATGTATGTACATACTTTGTCTGAGAACCACATAGTCTGTGCATAGTCTGTATCTGCATCGAATTTAGTACCTACATTTCATACTCCGTATAGTATTCACTTTTTTAGACCACCTTCATGTGCCGTGCAGCTGCAATATCTATGAGAAATGATAAATACTCAGATATCTATTTCTGAGCTACTACAATGCCAGATGGCAAAATGTAAATTTGGGCTAATTGCAAGCAACCCAAAAGTAAAGATAAAAATAATTGTTTCTTCCTAAAAAAATTCTGAGCCTCAGATATAATTTCTCCATGCTAAGTGCATGCCATGTAATAAGTGCAAGTATAAAGCTCGCTTTATCTTGTTGTACACCCTTTATATAAACTCCTTCAGATTTACCAAAACTATTTATTATGAGGACGCATATGAACAATCTATTCAATTTATATTAAATCAGGCAGGCTCTAGCACTAAACAGTTGATGGAACAACTTAGGGAAATTGTATGTAGCGCTACCCTCAAAGGAGCCGCTGAATATTTTGGATTCTCTGTTCTGCGCCCCAACTCCAAAAACAGTCTCGGACTCCCCCAACACACCTGGTTGAATAGAAATACTGTAGAAATGCAAGAGACTCTCAAAGGAAAAGTTTTACAAGATAATACTTTAATAGAGATTATCAAGTCAGCAAGAGACAAAGATGTTAGCTGCCGGTATTCCCCAACTTGCAAAGTATAGCATCAAACAAGGTCGCAAAGATATACAGTGGAAAGATCGTGACAATAGACCTAAATACAGGACCAACAGATCCTAGCTAAACCTTTGATTCCAGGAGCAAGACGGAGAAGAGGAGACTTTTAGTCAGGCAAAGGGAGCAATAAAGCACAATTTCTGAAACCTGGGCAGGAGTTCCCCCCTACAGTAAACAATTGATACATCGACAAAAAGGGACAGGCAGTGACACTCTGTAGACTGAATCCTTTGAATGGAGGAGTCCTTGAGGTAAATGTGTCCTTGGTCTTCAGCTAGCTTATGGTGGGGCCCAGAAGTATCACTGTGCACTGGCAACTAGCAGAGTGAATAGGTAAGCGTGGGGTATTTCCCAAAACAGAAGCCTATAGGTAGATAAAGAGGGGGTAAAGATATCTGCATGCAGTATCTATATTGTGTTAGGGAAGAATGTTGGGCTTTCCCCCCCTCACCAGACCCCTGGGAGATGACACAACCAAAATTCACTGTGGAGGGTCAGGCCCCTGGCAGAGTAGAATGGCACCAGATTGCTTTCTGACACCCAAACAAGACAGTAGGTAATGATGCCTGCAAAGACAGCAGTGGCCGACCCAATTTCCAGATGATACTGCAGTCCTTGGAATGTTGAGGGTCACCCTGTGGTGCTGGGTGATGCTGGACTGCCGAGCAGGTTTACTGCACTGAAAGGTTAAGCTGAGGTCTGGTCCTGAAGGGGAGAGACACACACTCCCCTCTATCAGCCTCGAAGTCTACACGCCTCTGCTGCAGGGGTAAATATCTGCCTCCCCAGGATGCCCTATGGTTTTCCTTTCCTCTGGTAAATGTAGTCCAGACAATGCTGAAGAATACAGTGTCTCTAGGCTATGGGACTACGGGTCCCAAGATCCTCTGCTTCTCAGACACACTTCCCGCTCTATCAGCAGAAAATTATGTGATTACTCTGCGCTGAACATTAGAGGGGAGGAAAGGGGATCTCAGTCTATGCAGCAGATGTCCCTGAGATGCAGAATGACCCAGCCTGCACCTGACTACATGTACAAACAGATTTGGTCAGCATAATACTTAAAGGTAAATGGCCCTCTACTGGATTTTATTAGTCCACAGCCAAGGTCAGTAGTGTATCCGCAATGTGCATAGATTGAGGATTATGTTCAACAGAGGCTGCCTATGTTCTCTCTTCTTTAACCCCCCCCCCCCCCCTCAGGCACCCAGACTCAGTAGGGGGGACTCTGATAGGGACACTAATGGGTACCTTGATGTAAGGAGGGACTCTGATATAAGGGGGGGGGGGGGGACTCTGATGGGAACCCTGATGTAAGGGGGGCTCTGATGGGAACCCTAATGTAAGGGGGACTCTGATGTGCACCATGACATAAGGAGGGACTCTAATAGTGACCTTGACATAGCAGGGACTCTGATGGAGATTCTTATGTAAATAGGACTCTGATGGGGACCCTGATGTAAAAGAGAATCTAAAGGTGACCCTGATGTAAGGATGATGTTAGCCTGCAAGTATCTGTAAAATATACAATTTGGCCCCATACTTAAAAGTGTGGAGGCCTGGTCTAAAGCAATGATGTGCAACCAACACTGAGATGAGTGCATGTAGATGGGAAGTGGCTGAAAGAGGCTTAATGTAAAAATAGTATTTTATGAAACAATTGTAACTGTTTATGATAGTGTTTAGCAAACTGTCATCAACTTATGGTTTTGATCTACATAAAAGATACAGTATATCTGTAAAAAAACTATAACATTTTCTTGTAATTTCTGTATTTTGTGCCATGGCTTGTAAAGTTACTTATAGATCCACTTTAAAGTGAATAAAGATCTGGGTATCTTTAAATTGTGATGTCCTTGGACCCCTTCTCTTCTCCATCTACACCTCCTCCCTTGGTCACTTGATAAGCTCCCACGGCTTCAATTACCATCTCTAGGCTGATGATACGCAAATCTATCTGTCTAACCCTCACTTCTCCCCTTCAGTTTCCACCTGCATCGCTAGCCTACTAAGCCACATATCGGCTTGGATGTCACTCCACTTCCTCAAACTCAACCTTTCCAAAACTGAGCTCCTAGTATTACCCCCAGCCCACGCCACCCCCACTGACTTCACCATAAACATCGCTAACACCATCCTCAGTCCATCCCCTCATGCCAGGGTACGAGGTGTAATCCTAGACTCCCATCTATCCTTCTAGCCCCAGATCCAATCGCTGATAAAATCATGTAGACTTCACCTCCGCAACATCTCCAAGATACGACCGTTCCTAACCCCGGAAACCACTAAGCAACTTATTCACTCCCTTTTCATATCTCGCCTTGACTATTGTAACTCCCTCCTCATTGGCCTACCTCATCGCAGGCTATCCCCCTTCCAGTCTATCATGAACGCTGCCGCCAGACTCATCCACCTCACTAACTGTTCTGTATCTGCCACCTCTCTCTGCCAATCCCTCCACTGGCTTCCAGTTGCCCAACGGATAAAATTCAAAACTCTAACAATGACATATAAAGCCATCTACAACACTGCCCCAATTTACGTAACCGATCTTATCTCTAAATATCACCCAAACCGTACACTCCGCTCCTTGCAAGACTTCTTACTCTCTAGCTCCTTTATCTCCTCCTCCCATGCTCGTCTCGAAGACTTCTCCAGGGCATCAACCATCCTCTGGAACTCCCTACCCCAATCTATCAGACTATCACCTACTCTACTTGCCTTTCGGCGTTTACTGAAAACCTTTCTCTTCAGGGAAGCCTATCCCGCCCTCTGCTAATTTTGGAATCCTCCACTCTTCCAACCACTCCATCCCCCACAGCGACTACCTACTGTACCATTCACCCCTCCCTCCTAGATTGTAAGCTCCAAGGAGCAGGACCCTCCTATCCCTCTTGTACTGAACTGTATTGTTACTGTATTGTCTCCCACTATAATGTAAAGCGCTGAGCAAACCATTGGTGCTATATAAATCCTGTATAATAATAATAATTACATTTTATCATGCTTCAAATCCTATAAATATAGTGTGTTTTCTATACAATTATTTGCTGTAAGAAATCTGTATTGCTGAAATTGTTTTTGTTAATTTCCTAGCATGGCATTATGCACTTCTGTGGATTTCAAGTTCTTGCCCCTCAGATATCTTATGCACCAGAATATGTGGCAGAAGCAAAAAGGAAAGAAATGCTAATGAACTGGGCTCAAAGACTGGAGAAGATCTGGGAGGAATCTCCTATAGACTGTACCCCACCTTGGTATTTTCATTAGATTCAAGATCTTCTCTGAGTTGGAAGACTATCTGCGATGCAAATAATAAGATCTTCAATTTTTAGCTTATTTTTCTAAATCAACAACTACTCACATCATTGCAGCTACTGACATATTCTTCTTACCCATGTTATAAAAGTATACAGAATAGTATATGGAATGCATAGCTAAGATTTAGCTGAAACAACAAAGGTTAGTATATTTTGTTCTGCTACCAGCCTGTTTAAATGTTGCTTACAACAGAATACTGCCTTTCTATAAAAAAAACTAAATAATAATAAACCATTAAAACTGGTTAGTCAGGACAATTTTTACATAGTTACATTGGTCCAGCTTGGAGCAGTGTAAGTATGTACTGTATATGCCATCAGGGCTGCTGTTAGAAACCACAGGGCCCCATACAGTCAAAGCAGCTGAAAGCCAGTGGGAGGAGAAGAAGCCAACTTTCCGCTGCTGTAGGGAGAGCCATACAGGGGACCGGTTCCAGTAGTTGGGTGGTATCTCCTTATCCACAGTCCTGTATGCCATACCTGTGGGATTCCCATGGAAGATGGAAATCACTGAAGTACTACAGTAATCAGGGGCATTCCTAGGGTTGGTGTCACGCTTTGCTGTAACACATGGTCACCCCACCAGAGGTGGGCAGTCCGTGTCGTGTACACACAGCCTGGCTGGCTCTTTCCCTCCCTGTGTCCCCGTTGCATCCCCCGGACTGGTGTTTTAAGCCGATGATCCCGCACAATGGATTGGATCTGTGGATTGGGGAACATAATGGATTGGTGTCACCCCGTGCAATAGGTGTCACCCAGTGTGGCGCCGACGATCCCCGCAAGATGGATCTGCAAATTGGGGAGCATAATGGAGTTGTGTCACCCTGTGTGATCAGTGTCACCCGGTGCGGCGCACACCTCTCGCACCCACCCACCCAGGGATGCCACTGACAGTAATAGGTCTACTTCAGTGATTTACAGCTTCCATGGGGATCCCATAGGTATAGCATATACATAATTAGCATATACATAATTACACTACTCAAAGCTGGACTGATGTAACTATGTAAAAATTGCCATACATAAACTTCTCATTTAAACTGGGAAGACTAAAGTATATGTTAAATGGGGACAGAGGCTGTTGCAATCTAATATTCATCATGTATAAAGTGCCAACAAGTAAACAATATTGGCTGGGTACCATATCCCTATACATTGATTATAGAGGTAAAGAAAAAATGCAGGGATTTTCTTGGTACCCCAAGAAAAAGAAACAAACAATTTGTAAAAGGTCAACATTTTAGCCCCCATGTTAATCAGGACCATAGTACAAAGGGGTAAAGCCAAGGAAGAGGAAAAATGGAGGGGGAAAAATGGAGAGGTGGGGGGTAAAGGCAGCGAGGGAAAAAGCCCGGTTGGCTGCTCTGCCTGATGTTGTCCTGATGAAGTGGTTATCGCTGCGAAGCATGAAACTCGTAGAGGTTTTCTGTACGCATATTTCCTTATGTCTACAATCTTGGGGGTGGAGTCCACTTTTAAGGAGACTCAAGCTTTCCAAAATAAGAAATTATGTTACAAATTAAGGGAAAGTTGTATTGATTTTAATAATGTGTTGTAATAAAAACCTTTTTAGAGCTTTGTAATAAATTTTGACATTTTACAAATTGTTTCTTATTCTTAGAGTACAGAGAAAATCCATGATTTTTCTTTCCCTCTATAATCACTGTTGCAATTTAATTATGACACATTACAAGATTTGATCCAGGAAAATATACAGTATACACAATTTGCTAATTAACTGACATGAAGTTAAATATCATTATTGATGTGATATAGTGAATATGGAGTACCCATGGGCCTTTTTGGAGGCAAAAATACGGGTTGCTTTCTTTGCATTGGAGAAATGATAGATGCAAGGTGAAACTTGGTTTAAATGTGTTTTTTACTTTAAAAAAAACGTCATCACTGAGAGAATGATGGGGTTGGCCTTCCAATGGAAGCTTCCTGAGAGCAATGCAAAGAGCAACCACAGACATCAGAGCTGCACTGCTTATTTATGACGATACAAAACAATAAATACAATCCTGAAATACCGCATGAGTTCAGGCATTTATAGCTCTGTATGTAATTATAAGTAAACTCCATCAGGCCAGGAATATCCAAACTATATACAGGCGTAACTTGGTTTAAGAATTTGTAAACCGAAATGCAGTTTCCCATAGGAATGCATTGAAAATCAATTAATCCGTTCTGGAGGTAAGAAAGAAGTAAAACAAAGTCTTATCTGTTCAAAACTCTTTATAAAAAGTGCACGTTAAATGCATAGTACTGTACAGGGACATGATTTAAAAATGATTTGTAAATGCATTGAAAACCAATTAATCCGTTCATATTGTGAAAAAAATTTGTAAACCAAGCCATTATTTTTAATGTATTTTCATTCATAAACCGAAAATTATGTTAACAGAGGCGTTCGTAAACCGAGGTACACCTGTATCTGCTATTATTAACTGGTGGAAATCTAGTTTTTACTACTGATTTATGTGAAAGTGTGAAATGGCAGGGGCGTATAATAAAAGAAAATAACTTGAAACAATTTAATTTGTTTTTTCCAAAAAGTTTTTAGGGTTATTTGTCTTTTTTTCATTATTATATTTGTAATCATGTTATTTCAATAGATCCAATTCAGAAAGCTTTTTTTTTCTCTTTTCCTGTTTTTTTTTTTCTACTTCATCTTGTAGGCAGGTACAGTCTACATTGTCCATTGCAGGTGGTGCTCATCTGCCGGCAATGCAGCTGGAGGAGGCAGTCAGGGGAAACTGGGGTTTTTTCATGATTCCCACGGTCACCTGGGGCAGCGTTATAATTGGCTAAGCTTGATCCAGGTGACCCTGGAGGCCATCTTGGGTCATGCAAATTCTTTTTAAGTTCCTGCCCATGGGTTTTGGCACGCATTTTGCAAGTGTCCAGTGTACGGACTGAATTTCCATCTGTCAAGGACAGCATTTGTGGTAGGGAGAGGTTCCAGAGAAATAGGGAAAGCTTAGGGCCTTCGTCATCAACTCAGCAGCTCTCTTTTGTTGGACCGGTCGAGTGTGCTACCCCACCAGGTTGTTATACTTAGGGTTGCAACCTCATCCCTTTAAAACCAAACACATATTATTTACACAGGTTCTGAGGCTAATTTAATGCAGATAAAGCTATAATTGAGTTTAATTAACACCTCAATCAGCCACAGAACCTGTGTCATTAAAGTGGTTGTAAAGGCTGAAGGTTTTTTACCTTCATACATTCTGTGTGCAGCAGCTCCCCCAGCCCCCTCAATACTTACCTGAGCCTCATCGCTATCCAGCGATGTGAATGACAGCCTTGGCTGTCCCGGGTCTCTACCTCCTCATTGGCTGAGACACCAAGCAGGAGCCATTGGCTCCTGCTGCTGTCAATCACAGCCAGATAGCCAATGAGGAGATGGGGGGGCAAGCCATGGCTCTGTGTGTGAATAGACACACAGAGCAGCGGGTGCCCCCATAGCAAGCTGCTTGCTATGGGGACACCTGACAGAAAGAAGGAGCCAGGAAAGCATGCGGGGGACCCAAGAAGAGGAGGATTCAGGCTGCTCTATGCAAAGCCACTGCACACAGCAGGTAAGTATAGACATGTTTGTGCTCGTGTATTGAAATATATTGTTACTGTACTGTCTCGTGTATTGTCTCCCCCCCCCATAATGTAAAGCGCTGAGCAAACTGTCGGTGCTATATAAATCCTGTATAATAATACAAAAAAAGAACCGTTAGAATCGCTTTAATATGTGTTTGGTTTTAAAGGGATGAGGTGGCAACCCTAGTTATACTGTTTTACAAGTTCTGCAATACGTTTTCTGCAATCAAGGACTGTTTTCTGCTGCCACACCACGCTGCACCTACCCAACAACCTTATACACTTCTCATTTTATCCAAGGGTGCATTGTAACTGCAATTATTAACTCCAAATAGAGGAACAATTACATTGCTCTACAACATTGGATTTTTCAGGTACACCATGAGGCCAGAATATTTTAAAAAAAAAATGTACTTTTTATTAACACATATTTTTGTTAAAAATCCATTTTTTACCCCTAAACCTACCTACCCCCACCATTTTGATGACACTGCTAGTGTATCTGGCTGCCCCTATAAAAGGTGACTCATTTTCACAGGTCCGTTGCTAGCCAGGCTAGACCCACTTCTTACCTGTTATACAACCACCCCTGGGCTACAGAGACGCATCAATGATGCTCTACCTCGTCTGCCGAGCTCTCACCTTACTGCTGGAAGTTGCCTACTCTTCTCTGTCAGGAATGACCGCTGGTGGCCAGGCTCCAGAGACGCGTGTGAATATAACCTGCGCAGAGGACTGAACAATTCGACTGGCTGCTGCTAGCAAACTCACAAATGTATACCGGTGAACAAATGTGTGAGCGCAAACATAAAAATTGCTGCGCTGCCTCTCCCAAAAACTACCATAAATAAGTAAATACAGTTTTATGGCATTGTATATGTGTTTTTTTTTAAGCACCATTGACATTTAAGCACCTTGTTTTACATGTTGGTTCATCTCTGATTTAGTCACTGGGGAGGAGGGATACAATTACCAGCCCGTGGGGCATTATAGTACATGCACATTTGTGGGGACTTTTTGTGTAGCAGGGAGTTCATTTATTTATTTACTTATTTATTTATGGTAGTTTTTGGGAAAGGCAGCGCAGTAATTTTTATGTTTTCAGGCTCCAGAGAATTTAGGTTTCCCACTGAAGAATATAACCTGCCTAAACCCAGATTACATTTCCCTCCCCCCATCCTCTCAGAAAGTGTGTGAAAGTTCTGCTCTCAGGTATCACCTTTCCCCTTCCTCCTCCCTTCAGGCAGTCATGAGTACAGTGTGCATAACGCACGAAAATGACATCACGCATGCTGCATGTTTGCAAACATCGCAGGCCATTCTAGAGAATTGACTAATTCCAGTAACCAGTGT